GAAATCGGAGGAAAACTCGAGGAACCAGAGGAGCCGACAGATCGGAGTTTTACGGCGTCATTCGCGCGTGGGTACGCGTGATCGCCACGTCATCACCGGCGGCGGCGGCGTCGTAGGCGGGGCGAGCGTCGGTTCCACTCTACCCGGGTAGATCGAGCTAGCGTTCAAAAGTGCGTGAGCTCCAAGGTTCAACAGGTGCTAAAGTGCGCGACCACCGCGATCTGTGCGTATAACACGACAACGCGAACGGGCCGGTGTCGATTTTGAGTCGGCCTGTATAAGCCGAGAAGGCGAAGTAGACCGGAGTACGCGAGGTAAGTCCTTTTAAATAAGGGAGGTTAAGGGGCTTAGAAGGCTAGGCAACAGTTAGGGATGGGAGAGGTCGCAATGGAGGAGGCGGAAAGGACAGGTACGAAAAAGAGGAGAGTGGCATCGGAGGAAAGCATCGTGTCGGAGGAAAATAAGGGAAAGAGGATCAGCGTCTTAGGGTTGGAACAGATTAGGAGACTGGGGGCCCTGATCTCAGGCCAAAGGGAGAACAAGAGGTTGACGATAACGGCAGCGACAGAGATGGAGGAGGCTATGGCGAAACTGGAAGAGGCGATATTGAAACTAGGAGAGGAGAACGCCAGGTTGGAGGGTAGTCTGGAGGAGAATAGACGTAATTTGGCGGAGGTCCTCAAGGCGGGTTTCAGCCCCATGGGAGAAGATAAAGAAAGAGAGGTAGAAAAGGAAACAGAGGTTGAGGTAGAGATTGAGGTAGATGGGGGAGCCCCCCCAACCAAGATCAAGAGGAAAAGGAGGAGGAAGAAGGAAAACAAGGCAGGGGAATTACCAGCCAAGTTGGTAAGGATGAAGGATTTGAAGGTATGTGAGGAGTTACCAGTCGCCAGGTCCGAGAAGGACACCAATCAATTTACCACAGTGGTAGGTAGGAGGGTTGTGAAGGCAGACAGGGAGAGTGAGGATAGAAAAAAGGAAGCGCTAAGGAAGAAGGAACTCCCGAAATCTTTCATAGTCCGGGGGGGGGAAAAAGGATTGGGAGAGGTCAAAAAGAGCTTGTGGTCGGAGATTGTAGGAAGGTGGGTGCTCCCAAGGTGAGCAAAACTTCGGTTTTACCAAGGGGGGATTTAAGATTGATTCCTGGCGACGCGAGGACAGAAGGGGCGCTAAGAGACCTTATGAAGGAGGGGAAGGTTGAGGTCCTGGAGGGAAAGCCCAGATGGCCGAAGGTTGTTATTTTCGATGTGGAAAGGGAGTTGCGTAAGGAGGAGATACCAAGGGCGATTTTAACACAAAATCCAAGTTTGGGGATAGAGGAGGAGGAGAGCGAGGGTTTGATCAAGCCCATCTTCCAGACGGGCCCGAAAGAAAGCAGATTAACAAACTGGGTTTGTGAGGTCTCTCCAGTGGTTTTCAGGAGGCTAGAGGGCAAGAGGCTGTACATAGGGTATGGTTTGAGCAAGGTGAGGGAGTGGGTAGACGTTACTCAGTGTAACAAGTGCCAGGGCTTCGGGCACCAGGAAAAGAAGTGTCTTAGGAAAGAGGCAGTATGCGGGCACTGTAGGAAGAAAGGGCACAGGATGAATGAGTGCAAGGAGAAAGATAAGAAGCCGAGGTGTTTCAACTGCGGGTTGGGTTTCACGGCCAGGCACAGGGGTTGCAGAGTCAGGGAAGGGGTAGCCAGAGCTACCGTGATAGGAACCTCGTACGTTCCAAATGAATAGGTGGGGGAATTTCGAAATTTCCGTCGTACAGTTGAATATGAACGGCCAACTGGCTGTCCCACTTCAGCTGTTCGAATTTTTTAGAGAGGAGAAGGTAGAGGTACTTCTTTTACAGGAGCCACCATTAGAGTCAGGTAGGTTACACGGCTTCGACTTCTAGGGGGTCATGGCAAACGGGAGGGACAAGGCAGAGGCGTCAATTGTTATCCTTAGCGACGACATTGAAGTCATGGCCATTAGGGAACTCACGGATAGGTACATCGCGGTGGCTACGATTAGGAAGAAAGGGGGCAAGGAGATCACTATGATTTCGGCGTACTTTAAGTACAGCATTCCGGTTAGGTTCTTTACAGAAAGGGCACATTCTTGGCAGGATCGGGGAGGACGTGGTAATAGGTGCCGACGTCAACGCACAAGCAGAATCCTGGCACAGTAGGAAGGGGAACCACAACGGGTGGGCTAGGGGGACCAAGGTGGCAAAGTCCACAACATGTGCGTAAAACCCCAAAGGCGACTCGTGGTCCCGGCTCCTCAAGGAGCCGGAACTGATTATACAGTACCTGGAGAAGTAAGTGACACGCGCGATGTTGTCGCACTGGAACCCGTTGTAACGGTTTTTTTTTCGTTTCGCAGGAGAATGGAATGTGGAATGACGGCGGCCACCCAAGTGGCCTACTTCAAGGTTATCCGCAAGTGTTCCTGAAGGCCACGACGATATTCATATACCGTGACTCCTCCTTTCCCCGCGACCAGTCCGGAGTGGGGCCTGATTCCGGACTAGTGGACCGCATGACGTACAGCATGCACGTACGAGTGTCCACTACAAAGGCGCGGGGAAGATCACTACCCAGGAGATCTTCAATCGGAAAACGGAGGAGGCCAGGAACACGGTCGAGATGTCGGCCATTTACGGGCTGGTCGCCAAAATGCGCGCCGTGTTGTCGGAGAAGCTCGGCGCGCTTGAAGAACACTTCAGCAAGTGCTCCGCCAAGGTGGACGTCGCAGCGAGGGTTGTCGACGGGAGAAAGACCAACGTGAAGGTAAGCGATCATTAGTCATTCGTATGGGATACGTGTAATACAATCGTTTTTGTTCAACAGATCTCCAAGTTGTGGCGTCAGGTGACCACCTCCCTGTGCGCGATCATCATCTTCGACGGCAAGCACCGGGTGGGGGTGGTCCAGCATCTGATGGTGGCGGAGTACCTGGCCGCCCAGAGAAACGAAGAGGGGACGTTCGTCATTTGGGTGGCCAAACATAAGCTTGGGGACAAACGGCCGGCCATCGTTGTCCTCGATGCGGCTACCGCCGAGTTCGTGGACCGGTAAGTAGTGCACGCGCGTTATCCGTTCGCGACGACGACGTAAGCTAATCTCCGGTTCGGTTTTTTTTTGTTTCAGTTACTACTTGCTACGCCGCAAGGTGGATAACGTGGCCGTCGACAATTTCTTCGTCACCAACACCGGGCATGAGGTCAACAAGATCTTTGACCTCCTAACCACCGCCATCCGGGAGAAGGACTTCCGGTACCCAGACGGCGATTTAGTGAAAGTGTCCGGTGGTTGGCTGCGAAATCAGCTGGAGACGTCGGCGGTCGATCACGGACCGGCGGTGGCGGGCCAGGTTGCTGCAGCGCTGCAGCACACGGAGGACACCGCACGGAGACACTACCAGATGGGCAGCTCGACCACGGCCATCCGTCAGCACCAGGCGGTGGTCGCGGTCGAGCAGTTAAAGCTAATGGACGAGTTCATCTGCGCCGAGTAGCGCTACGGTCGTTCGAGATCGACGACGGATTTCTAATAATTTTTTTCGTTTCACTTGCAGTCTGGAAATGTTCTTCGTGGGGGAAGCCAAGAATAAACCGCAGGCGTACGAGGAGTTCCGGGCACAGCTGCATGAAAAACATTAAATGCAGAACATGTTCCCGGGCGCAACGCTGACCCGGAACTTCTACAGCATGATAATCGAACGGTGGACGATGAATCTGGCCGACTCCATCGCCAGGGAAGTTGTCCGCCACTGCTGGCGGGAGAAGTTCAGAGCACCCCTCGGTGTGGTGCAGCTAACCCACGTGGCGCGCGATCTGGGGTGCACCTGGTGGACGAAGAATGAATTTACCAGTCAGGTTGTAGCGCCGCGTAAACGGACTGCTGCAACAGTTGTAAATATTTAATTTGTAAATATGTAAATAATATGTAAATATGTTTTGTAATTGTTTTTATTTATTTAATGTATATTTTTTTGTAATAACTCATCATTGTGACTATAATTATTATAATTATTATTATTATTATTATTATTATTATTATTATGAAAATAAATAAACGATTGAAAAACGAAAAAGAAATTGTAAAATTCCTATAAAATAGATATAAGCGACCCTATCTCATCACTGGATTTAAATATAAATTTTTTTTTTGTAATCAACTTGGATTGTTAATTGGAGACGAGTTAAGTTAACGAAATTTATTGAATTAATTTTTAACTTAATCGAACACGAACTCGAACAACGGATAGAGTGGTGAACAACACTCGCCCTTACAGTGGACAATTTTTAGGAATAGCCCGATGAAAGGGTTGGTTAGGAAAAAAAGGTAAAGTCGAAACAGTCCCAAGCTTGGGACTCGACGACCACTCAAACCTTTTTCGCGCGTAACTAGTCAATAACTAAAATACTAATATTAATAATGTCAATGAAGTAGTTTGACGCGGACCCGTGCTGCAGCCGTTACCGAAACAGCCGTCGCCGACCATGCCCTTATCTCGCTCATCAACCACCACTCTGCGGCACGCAACGTCGCAGTGACACTCCGTCCTCCCATCCATCACCGTACAGGGGACGCGAGCGGCCGCTACGACGTCCGACAGGTACCACCATCTGAACCGTGCTGTTTTTCCGAGACCGAGTAACGACACACAGCTCCATTTTTCTTTGTTATCTTTTTTTTTGTGTCATTGTGTTCACCACCACACACTGTGCACACCTTTTAGTGTACATTATTATTATTATTATTACTATCATTATTTATTTTTTTTAATAAATATTCATTGTTTGATCACGAAACGGGAATTGTTATTTTATTATTGATATTATAACCACTTGGACCGTATTCTCCACATCTGCGACCGAGCGCACAACATCGTCACCAGCAGGGGCGGATCCAGAAATTTTTTACGGAGGGGGCGCAAAATAAATTGTTCTTATACTTACGACTAAGCTGCCTAAATTGTAACATAATATGTAAAAGCAACAAAAATTATGTTAGCCCATAGCTATCAGTAATATATAAAATAAAAAATAAAATCAGAAAAACATTCTCAAATAATTATTTTTAAGTAGGTACTTGAAATATAAGGTGTATTAAGAAAAATGTTCTATGAGTTTAAGTTCTCCTTCAAGCTTTGTTGATATAAGAGGAACTGTTTAATAAGCTGCTGTATTGATTTGACACTTTTTCAATTGCATTATTAAAAAGATTGCTGTTATTAATTAACTGAGTCAGATTAGAAGGAACTAAAAAGTTCAAATTAAAACCTTGCATATTATCACCAGAGAACCTTATATCAAAATCATGAATGATTTCGTCTAGTAATGGTATATAAATAGATAGACGCCAGTATGTATAAATGTCATCATCAGACACATCAA